AGTATATGTCAATATATAATAATAATAATAATAATAATAATAATAATAATAATAATAATAATCTTAACACTGCATAATTATAATTACTTACAATTTTACGAGCTTTGCAACAATAAATATATCAATTCATGATGGCCCTTTGGTAATTATGTTGTTCTTTCAAGTCATTCCAAAAACAAATAGATATTTAATTATCAAATATTCAATAAAAGATAATTATTGCCTTGATGCAATTTATCTTAAATTTTTTATCTCAAATTTTGATTTATTTCTAGGACATATAGCATCCATATGATTTCAATATCTCTTATTCATGATATATAATTCTTGCCTATAATTTGAAAGGGCTTGTAATACCCTCTTCCCCCTCCCATGGGACCAAGTGGGGAATGTCACATTCTATGTCAGAGGCACAAACTGACTTACTTTACTTAAAAACTCTTTTCTTTGAATCATATCTTTAAAAGAGGTTGGTTTGCAAAGACATTAAAGGAAGAAGTGAAAGACTCAATATTAAATTTTTTGAAAACAAAATAAGTTTTAGTACTAATAAAATTATATTTCAAAATAAATTATAGGTAAGTTCATCAATCATATTCATAATAGTCTATGAAAAATCCTACAGTAAAACTACAAGAGTTTTCTCATCTTTAAAATACAACTTATTTAAAATATACAAAATCAGTAAAGTCTCAAATCTTAATTAATACAAAAAAATCCTACAGTAAAACTACAAGAGTTTTCTCATCTTTAAAAAATACAACTTATTTAAAATATACAAAATCAGTAAAGTCTCAAATCTTAATTAATACAAGTATACAAGTTATATAAAAACATCATCTGCCTAATTTATCGAACCATTATTCCAAGGAAAGTTCAAAATTTAAATCCTGGTTTCAAGTTCTCAAATAAAATCTCAATTCTAAATCCAAAATTTTAGACATACAACTTGTGAGAATTTAAATCCAAAATGAACCAAAGTACTTAAACGTATCTATCACAATCCCCAATAGAAAAACCATTACTCTCATTAAACCAAACTAATCCATGCCATGAGCTTGATATAGAGACTCGATTTAAGACTAAATGTCTGAAAACTTCCTTCTTTGTATGCAGGAACTCGGGATCAATAGCAAATCAAAATCTTCAACCTACGCGAGATAAAAATCATCGCGTTGAGTATAAAACTCAGTGGTGCTTAACATTTATATGCAATCCATAAACACAAAACAAGTATGTTTTACTGAAAGCTATGCTCAACAGAGTTATCTAAGATTCAGAGTTCAACATGTCATACTTCATAGATTTACAATCTTATTCTATTCATCATGCATGTTCTATGTTCATAAATACATACAATCCAATAGACAGTAACATAGTTCATGCTTCATAAGTATCTTACTTCATGCACATTTGACATATTCATAGGTAACTTGTATCACATAAGATCCGTTCCGAATCTCAGTATAAAAAGAATACAAATATTCATGTATCAATGATCGTATTTCCTCATATTCCAAATATACACTTCTTTAGAATGTTATCAGAACATATACTATATCAAAATAATTCAGAATATATCCCTTATCAGATGAGTTCAAAGCATATGTACTATTTTCGAATATTATCAAAACATATACTGTAACAAATTATTGACAATCTCAATGCTAAATCAGAACGTTGTTGGTGTTATTGACAAATCAAAATATCGTTAGTCTCATTGTCAAATTAGAATATTATTGAAATAAATATACCATTATAAAATATTTCAAAATAGATACCATGATAGTATGATATCAATCACGTTTTTTTAATCTTTTTGTTCATGGGCCTTATTAGTAACTCAAAAGAAACAGAAGCAGAGTAGGGATCAAATTCAGAATTAGAATGGAATAATAGCCAACAAAACAAATTAGGCAAAAGCCTATAGAATGGTGGCATAAGCTTATAGAATGGTGGTGCGCGTCCACCACTTGAGTGGAACACTCTGTGTCCAATAAATGATCATAGCTCAAATCCAGCATTCAATAACATGTTTAGTATATCCAGTATCAATATATCCACATTCATACAACTATTCAACCAAGTAAATAATAAGGGCTCATATATTTAGTTATAGTTCTTGATACTTATATCCTAATCCAATCACAGATATAAACTTAAAAGTTCAAATATAGCATCACAAGCATTCATAGACATACCTTATTGCGTCTTTAATCTGATTCTACACAAAAGAACTCATAGGTCCCCATGTGCCTCAACACACATAATGTATTCATGATATTAACATTTGATACTCGTAGAATCAATATATCATTTATCTATCATCATTTAAACATATAAAGGATAAGTACTTACTCAACTCACTTATTTGCCTCGTTCAAGCATCATGTTAGTCATAAAACAATTCTTTAACAATTAAGGTATAAAGAACCATTCTTATCATTAGAGTAATACTATCAAGTAACTTAATCACTTTCAATCATTAACTAAAAGGTATAAATAAGTATTAAGTCAATAGTAATCTCATCTAATGGCTAAAAATATTCTCCAATTAAATTCCTTCAAAATATTATTTTTCTCCACAAAAATCTCAAATTTACTCCATAAAAATAATTCCTCAAATTTTCTTAATTAATATAATTCACTATTTACTAATTATCTAAATTCTCCAAAAATATTCATTGCTTACTTTCTACCCATAAAAATCATGTATGTATACTCCAAAAATATTAAATAAAATATAAAACATAAATAGTAATTTTTTCTAACCAAAATAATACTGATTCTCGGATCGGAGGTACTATCACAGATCGGTGGTACTATTCATAGACAGGTAAATCACTATCCATCCATAGTTAATTATACTCAATGTCTTCCTCGAGTCTAAATAAAATATTATTCCCCTCTCTGCAGCACCATTCATGACCCGATAAAATAATACTATTTTAAGATTCGAAAATTTTGGGGCGTCACATAAGTATCCAAACTGGACACAAGAGAATGAGTTGGAAAGCAATACTATTTTAAGATTCGAAAATTTTGGGGCGTCACATAAGTATCCAAACTGGACACAAGAGAATGAGTTGGAAAGCTAAGAAGTAGACGTAAAACTTTCATGAAGAGCTCAAATACAGATGGAAAATAAAAATAATCAAAAAACAGCCCTTAAACACACTAAAAAACACATTTAAACATTCATCATGCATCAAATAAACCAATTCCTCATTTTTTTCCCACAGTTCTAACAATTTACCATAGGGAAAATTTCTAAACATAACATATGTACAATTATACAATCAAAGTTCAACAATTTAATCAATTCATACAAAATTAATTTCCCATTTTTCACAAAATAGTCATAATAATTCACAGAAATCACAAATTGAAACAAAGTAAGTGTACGTTATGAATACTAACCTTGTAAACAAGCTTTTTAGCAAGCTTAGATGTTAAAGCTTTCTAAGCTTTAGCTTTTGCCTTAACTCCCTTAGTATAGAGGGTGTCTCCAAAACCTTGGTTATAGTAGAGAATAATCCATAGAATATCCAAATTTCTTGAAATTAATCACCACAAATCACTTCATAAGCTCCACTTTCTAAGATTAATTACTTAATCAAGGTTTAATGGAGTGTATTTGATGAGTTTAGTAAGTAAGAATTGAAGAAAAAACATGGAGAAGAAGAAGAAGAAGAAAAGAGAAAGTTGTTGCTCAATTATTGAAGATTGACTTATATAAAGCAACAAAAGGCATTTTAGTCTTTAACCACCATTGAATGGCTAAAATTAAGTCAATGGTATTCTAATCTAATGGCTAAAAATATTCTCCAATTAAATTTCTTCAAAATATTATTTATCTTCACAAAATTCTTAAATTCACTCCATAAAAATAATCCCTCAAATTTTCTTAATTAATAAAACACCATAATTCACTATTCACTAATTATCTAAATTCTCCAAATAAATTTCTTACTTATTTTCTACCCATAAAAATCATGTATGCATACTCCAAAAAATATAAATAAAATATAAAGTATAAATAGTAGTTTTTCAGGACCGAAATAATATCGATTTCCAGACCCGTGGTACTATTCACAGACCGGTAAATGACTATTTCAGACACAGAAAAATGTTGGCGTTACAATCTTTTTCTTTTAGGTAAGAGAATTAAAATCGAGATTTTGACTTTTACTATTTAAGGTAATACTTCGAAAATCATTTTTGAGAGAGAGAAGAAATACTTTTGTGCTTATAAAGGAATATTCTCTCTATCTTACAATAAATCCTAAGATACTAAAAAAATCTACTTTAAAATCATTTTTGAGAGAGAGAAGAAATACTTTTGTGCTTATAAAGGAATATTCTCTCTATCTTACAATAAATCCTAAGATACTAAAAAAATCTTCACATTGTTCATAGTCTTTAATTAATTTTGGATTTGTAGGAACTTGCGTTCTTTATTAATTTCCATATTTAAAAATAAATAAATCTGTATAAAACAATATTAGCACAAAATATTAAATTTATTCATTTTACATAATCATCAAAATCTCAAAATAGAATTGATCCTTGAACCAATAGCTACTATGCCGATGCTCTCTCCAAACTGAAAAACCTTCTTATTTAAGTGATTGAGTGTGTTTGTGTTTAAGGGTTGAGAGGGTTTCTTGTTTGTGTGTGTGTGTGTGTGTATTTGCTGGTATTTGTAACGTTCATATTATTATTTTAGAACTATATGATGATTAAAACTGCTTTACAAAAAATAAAAATAAAACTTTATTATTGACCATTATTTTTTGATGTCTATATCATATAATAGATGATGTTTGTTTTTAATTAGCATATGTATTTTATTTTGATATTAAAATAGTTTTATTTAAAGGAATGTATCGCATTTTAAAAATATAATAATTTGGTTGGGAATTGAAATCGGAAACAAAATCAAAAATCGAAAGACTACCGATTTTTTTTTTTTTTTGACATTTGAATTATGGAATATATTAATAAGAGAAGAAACGAGTGATATAAGCGGGAACACTATCCCAAGTTTGAAAACAAGCTCCACTAGGGACAGATTTAGCCAACACATGAGCTATATCATTTGCTTGTCTTCCAATCCAAGCCAAGGTGACATTAGACAATTGGACTATGAGTAGTTTACATTCGGAGATAACAACACCAAACTCGGACCAGTCGTGGACAGAACTTCTCATAGCATGATAGACTTGAAGACGATTGGTCTCAACCTGAATCGTCAAAGTAGGGTGTCCCGACAGCACCCAGGATAATACCTTTCTTAATGCCTGAGCTTCTGCTACTACTGGAGAAGAGCAACCATGCATTGAAGACGTTGCTGCTGATACAAACCCGCCATGGCAATTTGAGAGTACAGCACCGACAGCTCCATGGCTGGCAGAGGGGAGAAGAGCGGCATCAAAGTTCATTTTAAAAGTGCCCGTAGGTGGCGGAAACCATTGACTATCTGCAGAAGCATTGTTGCCTGTATCTGAATCTAACAGCTTCAGCTGGGCTTTCTTCCAAGAAGCGAGCATACTTCTAGCTCGAGTAACCACATGATAAGGTGCTTCATCCACTCGGTCCCATTCGAGTTCATTACGGTTTAGCTAAACACTCCATAGACCCATAATGAAACTCTCAAAAAAATCGCTTTCCCACACGTTGTGCAAGTGTTCGAACATCTGTAAGAAATTTGGAAAATTGCCAATATTTGGTTGAACACCAAAGAACTGCCAACAAAATCTTGCTTTTGGACACGCAACAAGAGCATGGGCTAACGTTTCAGCAACACCACAATAATCGCATCTTGTATCAAGCTCCATTCCCCTTCTTTCCAAACTAGTGGATCAACTATACAGAGAAGGTCGAGTGCAAAAGAAATATAGAGCAGAGCGCTCTATATGCGGCGAAGACCATGAGCATACAAGGGGTATACGTCTCAGCAAAGCATACTCTCTCTGCCAAACTTGTTATCTGATATATACCTTACAAGACTGTACCTCGCTTGGGGCTAGTTTGTCCAAGGAAGCGAGCCAGGTACTTGCCGAATTCTTTTCGAGGAAAGTGGAGAGGTGCTCATACTTGACGAACTACTTGATCAAAGGTTGCTATTTCACTGGCCACCTCCAACCATGCAGAGATGCTCCACATGGTCGATGGATGGGTCATTCTCGAGAGTTTCATGCACACTTATAACATTAGCTACCAGTCGACATAGAGTTCGTCAATAGAGTGAGAACTCTTCATATAGAAAATTCGTGCTGTTCGTTCCACGAGAGCCACGTCTGCGTTGCATAGTGTGTGATGGCACACCCCAGGCCGTGCCGCTCGATCCATGGACTTGGCTTAGAGGAATATTAGCGGAAAAAACTACCTATGTAGAAGCGCCACCTCTCCTCTGGCTACTTGTGACCACCCCAAAAGATAAGCACACTCTGCCAACCAGTATGCTCCTGCAATATCTGATTGGAGACACGACAACACGCTCGCCTGCATGCCATGGGCAATAGACGAGCATCCGTTCCTGGAGCCAAGCATCCGAGCTTTCACCTCTTATCTGACCTCTACTTAGTCGTACAAGCTCCATTCCGGCCTTGATACTTCCTAACATTGTAGATTGTTCACGCACTCGCGGTTGCCACAAGTAAGCTGAGAGTCTTCAAGCCGGTGCTGGTCAACTACCCTGCCAGCGTAGGACTCAATTAAGCTCGTTAGGCTCTCAGCTTTCATGTGAGGTGTGTAAATTTCTTTCTCTCTAATGGGGCGCTTCAGGGACAACTGCTAATTCAACACCCCCTCGCAGTTGCATATATATCTATTGCGCTCTCAATATACTTTCATGAGTATTAGAGTATTTACGTTCAATCATTTTATTGTATGCACTTTGGCAGATTTCATCGAGTAATCCATAATACCTCCTAACGTTGTATACTGGTCTTTTGAATTAAGTCTTAGCCTTCCATTAGTTGGTCTTATGATAGGTGTGTGTCTTCCTCTGCTCATGATTTTTAACTCTACATCCTTAGAGCGTAACTACTGGAGAATCCCTGATGTAGATGATACATAGGTGGTGCAGCTAATTGAAGGAATGAATAAGATGACCAGTTGGTAATTCAGAGGTGATCAAATATTCCTTTAGTTAACTATGTTTCAGCAACACCACAATAATCGCATCTTGTATCAAGCTCCATTCCCCTTCTTTCCAAAGTTGTTTTAACTGGCAGAATGTCTCGGCAACACCTCCAGAGGAAATGCCTCACTTTCGGCGGAATTTTCAAGGACCAAAGAGCTTTCCAAAAACCTGATTGCAAATCATCTTCAATATCCACATATTGAGATGCTACTATTTTGTATCCAGATTTCACAGAATATATCCCTGAGTCTGTCCAGTGCCATATAGTTGTGTCTTCCTGAATGTTTGTAGCTAAAGGAATGGAGGTGATAAGTTCAGCAATTGAAGAATTGAAAAGACCATGAATCAGAGGCAAATTCCAAACACGTTCCCCTTGTGTCAAAATAGGTCGGAAACCCTTATATGCTCAAAGCCAGGAAGAATAGGCAGATTGACTCGGAACTGGTTATCCCTCAATAGCCATGGCTCGGTCCAAACATTTACTGACTGACCATCTCCAATTCTCCACCGAAAACCTGAAGAAATAGCATCCTTAGCTGCACAAATTCCTCTCCATGCAAAGCTTGGATTACGGCCAACGCCTGCACCAAGGAAATTCCCACTTGGAAAATATTTAGATTTGAAGGAACTATAAAGAAGAGAATTTGTATTATGTAAAAGCCTCCAACAGTGTTTTCCTAGCATGGCTAGATTGAAGCTTCGCAAATGTCTGAAGCCTAACCCACCTTCTTCCCTCGCTACACACAGTCTTTCCCAACTCAACCATCGCATCTTTCCGCCCCACCAATAAGAATTCATTAACCTCTGAATCTCCTGTAAGGTGGATACCGGTAAAAGGAAAGCACTCATACAGAATGAAGGAATAGCTTGTGCCATAGACTTGATTAGCACCTCTTTACTAGCTTTCGATAAAAGTTTCTGGTTCCAACCACTGACCAGCTTCCTCACTCGATCCTTCAAGAAAGAAAAAATGCGCCTTTTTTCCCGACCAATTAACGAGGGCAAGCCTAGATACCTTTCGTGGTTTAAAGGAGCAAGCACACTAAAAACTCCGGTAACGGCATCCTTATCCGACTAAGAAGTGTTAGAGCTGAAAAAAATATCGGATTTTGTCCAATTTACTGCTTGATCATACAGAATGAAGGAATAGCTTGTGCCATAGACTTGATTAGCACCTCTTTACTAGCTTTCGATAAAAGTTTCTGGTTCCAACCACTGACCAGCTTCCTCACTCGATCCTTCAAGAAAGAAAAAATGCGCCTTTTTTCCCGACCAATTAACGAGGGCAAGCCTAGATACCTTTCGTGGTTTAAAGGAGCAAGCACACTAAAAACTCCGGTAACGGCATCCTTATCCGACTAAGAAGTGTTAGAGCTGAAAAAAATATCGGATTTTGTCCAATTTACTGCTTGACCCGAAGCTGCTTCGTAAGTGACTAGAATATTTTTGATCTCTAAAGCTTGGATTTGTGATGCCTCAAAGAAGAATAAACTATCATCCACAAACAACAAGTGAGATAGTCGTGGCGCAGCTCTCGGGACTCTACAGCCTTGGAGACGACCCTCATTTTCAGACTTACTAAACAGCTTTGACAGTCCTTCAGCATATAGTATAAATAAGTAGGGAGATAACAGACAACCTTGTCTCAGTCCCCGTCCCGGGATAATTGGGCCAACCTCATCCCCATTCACTCCAACCCAATATTTAACAGAGGATACACACAACATGATCAAGTCAACCCAACGCTGGCTAAAGCCCAAGCCCTGCATAACAGCCCGTAAGTAGCACCAGTTAACTCTGTCATAAGCCTTAGAAATATCAACTTTCAGTGCAGAAGCTCCTCGTCGACCAGTCATTCTGGTTTTCATAGAGTGGATTAATTCGAAAGCAACTAACACATTATCTGAAATCAATCGACCCGAGACAAAAGCCGACTGAGATAATGAGATAAGATTGGGTAGGATGGTCTTCAGCCTGTTTGCCAGAATCTTAGCAAACACTTTGTAAACTACGTTACAAAGTGAGATAGGTCGAAAGTCCTTCACTGCCTCTGGGTCTTCTACTTTTGGAATAAGCACAATTAAAGTATCGTTCAGGTTATCTGGAAAAACACCTGCATTAAACCAGTCCCGACAACTTTGAACAACATCATGACCCACAATATCTCAAAACCTCTGGTAGAATCTAGGATTTAGGTCATCCATCCCTGGGCTTTTATCCGCATGCATTTGTTTCACTGCCAATTTAACCTCGTCCACTGAGATATCTCCGAGAAGCATAAAATTATCATTATCCGAAACCAAAGGAGAAAATAAACCCACAACAGGACTTAAGTCAGCATCCCCTGCCTCAAATAGATGAACAGACTACCGAAAAATTGCTTCGATATGGTTCTCATTCTTCAATCCTTCCATTCCTATTCCTAAAATTGAAAGAGAGTTTTAGTTCGGTCACTGTTTTTTTTAGGGACCAAACAGCCTACTAGCCTAGTATCTGGCCCACGCAACGTAAGTGGTAAAATCGCAAATAATTCAAATCCAAGGGTCAAACGCGTAAAAAATTCCAATAGACATCCCGCGTTAGACACAAGCGAGAAGATAAAGCACACTCCACTTTGGCAGTGAAATTTAGCTAAATTTGGTGCAAATTTTAGGGATCTGAAGAAAAAGCAAAGCAAACGAGCATGAGTCGGTATCACAGCGATCCTAACCCATTCGATGAAGAAGAGGTCAATCCTTTCTCGGTAATTTCTCTTCCACCTTTTCCTTCTCAGATCTACCTATATCTTCTTAGCTCTCTCTCATCTAATTTTAGTATGTTTTCAGTTTCACTGATCTCGATCTGCAAACTGATTGTTATTACACTGACATTTTGAATTTTTTTTGGAGCTTATCAATTCAATAAGTAATTCTAGACTTATTTGAAAATCTTTGAGGGGAAGTCTCATATACAAATGTTTAGAATGTAATGTACTCGTTATATGAAAATACATAGTTTGGAATCTAATATCTATGAACTGATTTCCAAAGACAATTTACATTTGGTGAACTGAACCTCACTGCTCTTGGAATTATGCAACTCCTTTCAATTTTTTACGTTAATTAACCTTGTGGGTTTCTCTTCGGATTCACATCAACTTATTCTCAGAATCCAATAATCTAATAATAACGAAAACTACATCAATGCATCTCATTGTTGGTATCAGTACTGTTATAAATGAACTACTATTTTTCAAGATAAATACAATTTGAGCAGTTTATGAATTCTAAAGGTCTAAAGGTTTCTTGGTTTTGCATCATTCAGTCATTTGTCATAAATAATGGTTTTAGTTTGATGCAAAAATTTGCCTTTCAGTTGGCATCATGTTTTATGCTTGCTCCAAAATCTCCAGTCAATATTAGTTTAACTAGTTAAAGGGAAACCCTTAAACTATTTTATAGTTGGATGTGAGAGTTGACGGATTCAAGTTTTGGGAGTTTAATTTGTTCAAGATAGAGATCTGAGTTCGGTGGTTTACAGACATATGGGTTTTTAGAGTAATTGTTGTATATGCTTGACTCTAAAAGGATGATATGGTGTCTAATCTGCACTATACTATTGTGTTGTTGGACTACCAAAGCCCATGATATTAACAATTTCATGTAATTAATGCCACTTTCTAAAACTGTTATGTATGTCAGAATAATGAAACTTATCGGATGTAGATATATTAAAACCTTGGATATTGGTCATGCCTCTGAGTTTACTGCAAAATTCCAGGAGAGGATTTGCATCTAGAATACCAGGTTAACTTATTTCAACTTCAAGTTGGATGTTAAATTTTGTGAAGTATTTTTGTGGATACTGCATTAATTGGTCTATTCAGTGCTTTATGTTGGTTTGGCAGACCGTCCAATTTCTGTATGCTATTGTTCTAACTGTACTTTCCTGGATCAAGCCGCAAGGTTTTTATATGATTTGTGGTCTCAATATTATTATGCAGCTATACACCTTTGTCACTTTTGTGTTCATTTTTCATTTTGCTTTTTGGGGCTACATGCTGGGGTTTTTTTGCAGAATGGTGCTACTGCTCCTGGATCAAAGACACGCGTTCCTCCTGTGGGAGCTCAGCCGGCAGGATTTGGGCATAATGATGCAACAGTCGACATTCCACTTGATACAATGAATGTAATTATGTTGCTATTTCCTCATTATTGTCCAATTTTTCACATTCTCATGTCTTGTATTCTGATTTCTGCATTTTATTGGTATTGAATAATGCAGGATCCAAAGAAAAAGGAGAAAGAACTTGCAGCATGGGAAGCAGATCTTAAAAGGAGGGAAAAGGTTATTTTCAATACTATGATTGGTTACTCACAAGCAAGTGTATCATGTATTTATCTTGTAATATGGTTTTCACATGCCCAATTGCTACCTGATTTTGATTATGTTAAATGTTTGATGCTTTCACTTTGAAAGATGGTTTTAATCCTGCCTTTAAAAATGATGTTGAGGTTTTTCTCTTTGATGTTGTCATTTGCAGGATATCAAAAGGAGAGAAGATGCTGTTGCAAATGGTAAGCAATAATGTTACAGATTACATATGCTATTTTGCGAAGTTGTCCATATATGTTTTGTGCAATGTATAACTATTTTATCTTTGGGTATATATCAGCTGGTGTCCCTGCAGATGATAAAAACTGGCCTCCATTTTTCCCCATCATCCATCATGATATAGCAAATGAAATACCGATTCATGCTCAAAGGCTACAGTATTTGGCTTTTGCAAGTTGGTTAGGTATAAGACTATTGTTCTCCATCTTCTTTGATTAAAGTTCAGTAATAGTATTTTGTGCTGAAATTTTCCCACATTATCTGGTTTTTTGCTTTTATTCTGTTTATTTTTTTAACCTTTGTTTCATGGAGTGGCAATTTCCTAGTTTAGAGTAGTAACCAATAACCCCTATCCCTTACACCTAAGTTTAAGTGCTGTACTCTGTATCTACATGTGTGCCCTATCTTGTTTGAGGGTACTATGATGAAAAGAAAAAACATGACAGAGAGAGAAGCAGGCATCTTCTCGACACTTTTATTTTCTATTTTCTATAGCCTAATATCTAGTGTGCTTTCTCCTGTTAACTCTGAAAATTTCTAGTGGTCTTTAATTTTTTTTTTTTTTTTTAAATTTTTTTTGGGTTGTCATTGGCAACCATTTATATGTCATGCATATGTTTACCGGCACATAGCTCTTGCTGTTTACGTTTTTATACAACTTTTCCCATAGAGGGGCTTTTACTCATTTCATTAAACTGGGGGAATTTATGTGCCATTTAATCTATTAAATTATTGTGCATAATGTCTTTTGAATGTATATTTTAAATGTTGACAGGGTTAACTTGTTATATATTTGGCTAAAGATACACTAATTGTAAATTTCTTTTGCCTTTCTTTTCTTTTTGAATCTATAGTAGCGCCAGTGGATTTAGTCCTATGGCAGTTCCACACCATAATGCGAAAACTAATGTTATTTAAAGACTTGGACTTAAGTTTCTATTTTTGAAAGAGGAATAGTGTGTTTTGTTTGAGACCTGATGGTCTTTTTCTAGTTGTTGGCCATGGTCGTTACATCACTTTTCTTCTGTGACCTCAATTCTCTTGCCCCACACGTTGACAATTATGAAGTAGAGAGGAAAGAGGTTAGTTGGAGGGGATAGATTTTAATTTCTACTCTGATTAGTAATAAAATGTTATTTTCCATTTTTTTGATTGGTTGGAAATAATTCAACCTAGTTTTTAAAATAAGCTAAAGTTGACAAAAGAATTTCATAGGTTTGGTTCAAATTCAAAACTGCTTGAAAGTTTGGATTTTGTAGCTAGTAGGCCTTTATAAATTTTTTGGTTTTTCCTCTTTCTGCTACCCCTTCCCCCTTGTCGCGCCATTCCTGTCTCTTTCTGACCTTCGCTAAAAAGAAAGCTCTCGTGAGATGTTTCACTGGAAAATTGTGAATTTGTAAAAAGAAAAGGAAAATAATTTTATGAAACAATGTTATTACTTGTCCAATATGAGCATTAATTGCATAACTACTCAACAAAATATTCCAAGATTCCAATTCTTATTCTGACAATAATATATGTTGTAATAATCAACAATTCCACATTTCATGAACATGTCAGTAAGTGAATTTATCACTAGGAGACCAAGTCTTCTTGGTGATGTAATAATCTGTGAATGTAACTATGAGTTGTCTTTTCCTTTTCAAGGAAATCATCATGATGCATTGTTCATCGTGCACGAGTTGCAAGATTGTTGTAATGTTAACCCAACTAACCAACTAATACCCATTCCTTCACTCTGCATTTTCCTGGGTACCTCTAGTTCCTCAAGTAGTTGATCTTTCACAACATAACCTTGTTATCAAAGATGCTTTCAGCAATATTTACTCTTCTGGGTTTCCATTAAACATCTTGGAGGCGTCATTGCAACCCTTGTATTTTGTGTACAAGCATGTTAAGTCATTACTCAACACTAGGTTGGCTTTATCGCTTGATCATGAACCCCTCCACCAATTCTTGAATCATTTAACATCATTCATTTTCAGTGCCTCAAAAACTCGAAAGTGCCATATGTTGTTTTAAAATTCATGTACCACATTAAATTGAATGTAACTAAGATTAATTAATAAATTAATGGTATGGTTGTATCATATATATTAATCCTTGTTTTGTAAGGTTTGCTTGAATATGCCCAAAATGGGCCTTGTTAATACCCAAAAAAAAAAAAAAAAACACTACCGCAAAAAAAAAAAAAAAAAAAAACACTCACCTTTTGAACCTTTCTTCTTAGTTTGGGTTTAATTGCCTTGGTCCATTCTAGTACCTACCAAACTGCCATGTAGCCATTATGGGCTACCCAAAAAAAAAAAAAAAACACTCATCTTTTGACCTTTCTTAGTTGGGTTTAATTGCCTTGGTCATTCTAGTACCTACCAAACTGCCATGTAGCCATATGGCTTTAGATCAATAGTTTTTTTAAGCTATTGCTTTCTCTATAAATACAATTAATCCCATCTTGCTAGTTTCTTTGTTGTCCTCTTGTCAAAAGAAATATACTTTCAGTGGTTCTTTTATTACTTTGTCACAATTAGCAACTCATTTGCGGAAATACTAATCCTCCTTTTGTTCTGATTTGTAGGTATAGTTCTTTGCCTTGTCTTTAATGTAATTGCTGTTCTGGTCAATTGGATTAGAGGCGGGGGTAAGTATATTCAATTAATTGGCTTATTATTGGTAAATATATGTCCCAGGACTAAAATGCAATTTGAATTAGCTAACGAGAGTGGTAACATGCAGGAGTCAAAATTTTTCTGCTTGCATCAATCTATGCTCTGTCTGGAATCCCTATGTCTTATGTGTTATGGTACAGACCTCTTTATCGTGCAATGAGGTAAGTGTTAAGTAATGCTTTCTTTGTTTTTATAAGATTTCTAGCCATCCATTGACATTGTGCGAATCATACATCTCAGTGAAAAAAGTAGATGGCTTCTAGGATAACTATTTCTATGGTTACTATGGCCTGCTGGGTGAAATTCTTGATATCATAAGTTAACATTAGTTTACTTTTAAATGTATTATGAAAATAGTTCCTACTCAATGGAAGTTTTGATGATAAACACTTTTCTACAGGATTTCATTTATGTCCCTCTGATTGCAATTCTTATTCTTCATAGCATTGGGGAAATTCCTAAAACATTATTAACTATGCTTTCCACTTAACTGCTGCATTTTTTCTTTTCACTTCCTGTGCATGCATTATGTGGTCTCTACCTTGAATATGACAAGATCTGCCTGGACATAAGATTTAAAAAATACATCTCCTGGTATAGCATGTTTTATGAGGGTGATAAAAGGAACGTGACTTAAATCGAGTAGGATATGTAATGAGGTTACATGTAGTTAGGTTATGGTGTGAAGCCGTGACTGCTGATCCAATTTCCAACCTTTGCAGTAAACTCATGTTATAATCATGATGTCCCGATTTCAGATTGCAAGAGTTCAGGCTTCAGTAGGTTGTAAATTCTAATCAAGGGTTTTGAGTGCAAGCCCTGAACAAGTTTTTAGTTTGTGAATTATGAATTTGGGAATTCAAATTAGAGTTTGAATGGGAAAAGTTCTGGTTTTTTGCAATCTCTTGTTAAGCCTTCTTAATATGCTTTGCTGCCTGATTTAGGACCTTAGTTTGACTGGGGCAAGTCATAAACTGATTTTTTCCTGTTGCAAACAGGTGATATTTTCTTTGCTGAGATTTGTTACTTATAATGTAAACACAGTAGGTTACAACTGTAGATGAAAGTACCCTAACCCTAATTGTGTAACTTGAAATTTTGTATTATAGAATTGGACTTATTGAAGGAGTTACTGATAAAGGCATTCTTAATGCATTAGGCTTCCCAGTTAGTTGTTATGTGCAAGGAAGTACTTTTTTATTGAGCTATTCTGGCAAAAATAGCTAAAAATAATAGTGGTTTACTTTGAGGGAAATTGTACCTATGAATAATTCTCCACTTAATTCCTTCCAAATCTTAAGTGTAATAATATAGGACTATGAGTCTCTGACACTCAACCGACCAGTCAACCAACTATGGCTGACTATAAATTAGCATGAGATACCGCCATTACCAGGAAACTAGGGACTAAAACATTTCAGCCAGTTATGGACTCTGACATGCAACAATGCTAGTAATAAAGGAAAAGTTCCATGACCTATTAACATGAACTGAAAACAAGAAATAAGCTTGCATGCGGCATAGATTTAGAGGGTTGTCTATTTAGCACAGTCGGCTTCCTGGCCTCTTTTGCTATTTTTTCACCAGAGAAGGTGTTTCTGCAACTTGGGCCAGTGTTCTTTTTGTTCACAAAGAAGCAAATTTACTATTTTACAAACCCTTATATTCTAAATTTTTTTAATTAAAAAGTTCTAAAGATTCTTGTTTGTTTTATTCTAAATTCTAAGATTGATAAGTTTCTGAATATTCTAATAGTGTTTTGGTATAAATGAATTCCATGAAATTCTTTATGAAATTCATTTGCAAGTGAATATTTGATACGTTCAGTATGCAAAAAAATATATTTGAAATTCTAATTTATGAATTCTATGATTGGACCAAATACTATCAAATGGATGAATTTTCAAATGAATTCTACAAACAATTTTCATTGGACTAAAGTTTTCCTATCAAATTCTCTCTCTCTCTCTCTCTCTCTCTCTCTTAAAATTTCCTTCTCTCTCTCTAGAACCAGGAGTTCATCTGCAAGTTATAAGACTTGTATGCATTTTGCAATGCAGGTGTTTGTAAAATGCAGGCATTAATAAGGTTTTTGAAGCAGATTAGTTATTTCATTCCCTTCTCTTTGATATATACATCAATTACCAAACTCTTAGTAGGCTTTTACTATTAAGTAGTGGAAGAAATCAATATTTTTTCTCTTTGAAAGGATGTAAAATCATGTTTCTACCCTTCTCTTTGATATATACATCAATTACCAAACTGCTAGTAGGCTTTTACTATTAAGTAGTGGAAGAAATTCAATATTTTTTTTCCTCTTTGAAAAGGAATGTAAAAATCATGTTTTCTAAAACATGCAAGATGGTAATGACGAATCAAATTATGTATGAAATTTATTCTTACAGTGATTTTGTAGTTACTAAAATTTTTTCATCATTGAAGTATGTTGAGTTCTCTCTCTCTCTCTCTCTCTCTTAAAATTTCCTTCTCTCTCTCTAGAACCAGGAGTTCATCTGCAAGTTATAAGACTTGTATGCATTTTGCAATGCAGGTGTTTGTAAAATGCAGGCATTAATAAGGTTTTTGAAGCAGATTAGTTATTTCATTCCCTTCTCTTTGATATATACATCAATTACCAAACTCTTAGTAGGCTTTTACTATTAAGTAGTGGAAGAAATCAATATTTTTTCTCTTTGAAAGGATGTAAAATCATGTTTCTAAAACATGCAAATGGTAATGACGAATCAAATCTATGTATGAAATTTATTCTTACAGTGATTTTGTAGTTACTAAAATTTTCATTTGATATGTGAGTGAACTTTTTTCTCTTTTTATTCTCCTTTTGCCTACCACCTAGAAAATGGTGCTTGGAGCTACTTGAACATTAGTAAGGTCATTTTTGTAAAGTCAAATATTGAATTGAATTTCAGACTTGTACTGAACACACAGTTCATTTCATTTCATTCAAATGAAATCTATTATGAAATTCATTTGCAAATGAAATTTATTCATATTCATTTATACTGAACAAGGAGTGAAAGTTGATATTGTCATCTGTTCATTTCAATTGAGTTTTATGATTCCCAGCCCCACCCAGTGTTGTCACTAGGAACTTGAGGCGCTAAGATGAGGCAAGGTGAGGGACAGGTGCCTGGTATACCATGAGGCGAGGCACCTTCAACTAGGCGTTGCCTAGGCACCAAGGTGCTGCCAGGCGAGACGATGTGTGGGCGAGCACCTCAAACAAATTTTGTTGTCTTCCTTTATAGACATTAAAATATTAGGTTAAGAATAAATAGAAGTATATAAATATATATAAAGAAAGGCTGGAATATAGGATGTTTGACAGCCCTTTAATAAGTAGGTCAAAATATAACATATAAATATGGAAAAAAAAGATAGTGGCTGAAAAATGGAAAGTTTGACAGCCATTAAATACTTGGATCAAAATCTAATCTAACCATTAACAATAAGTACGTGAGTATCTAATGGTCCCACCCTCTCCTTCTACTAATAATCATTGAGTTTTGCTACTTCTACTAAGCCTTGAGGGCACCACCCTCTCCTACTAATAAGCCCGGTTTTTCTTTGCTTTACCAAGATTTGTGTGTATGCGAGGAAACTGATAAATTAATACTTTAATAGTAATCAGTGGTGTTATTCCTATATTCTGAACCTGTTATTCTCATTGGTAAAAATAAATATTCTATTGGCTTATGGCTGAATGTATGGTGATTTTCTTAGCATGATAAAGCAGCATTTGGCATGCCTCAATTTTATGACAAATGGTGCTTTGCTTTTAAACTTGCAGGACAGATAGTGCTTTGAAGTTTGGTTGGTTTTTCCTGTTCTACCTTGTGAGTTTTTATCCACAACATATCAATCTTGTCATCATTGTGCCACCATATATTTTCCTTCTTACATATTAATGAATATGATTTAATGCAGCTTCACGTTGGGTTCTGTATATTTGCTGCCATTGCTCCGCCAATTGTTTTCCATGGGAAGTCACTGACGTAAGTTCTCACATGTTGCAGTTTTTAATTGATAGTTGTACAGATCGTGAAAAGTTGATTACTGTACTCAATGAGCATTGATTAATATTGATGATTATCTTCTGGAAACTAAATTTGCCTATTGTTTCAGCGGCATCCTTCCAGCGGTTGATGTCATTTCTGACAATTTGCTGGTTGGGGTAAGTTGTATTTTGTTGGCACCGCCATATAAATTTTATTTCTTTTACCGGTAGAGTAGCATGAAAACTTAATTGTATAGTTTTGAGAGGAATTACCTATAATCTAATATATATTAATGTCATGTAAAGTTCTTGAATTCTTAATGACATAAATCTTTAGAGAAAATTCTTAACTTTCCACTTCATTTATGCTAATAGATATAGTATTTATTAGCTTTATTAACTATTTTGTTCTTTGGATATTTAGAACTAGAGTTTTTGATGTTTGAATTAATTTTACATTTATATTATATCACATATATTGTATTATATTGGTTTTTTACCAAAATATAGGAACAAACATTAGTTCATATTCATTTTTTAATAATAAAATATCTGTCTAATACCAAAATTAATATATTTAAATGTAATTCATTCTTTATAAAAAATAAAATACTAAATAACTTATTTTTTTTTATATATTTTTTAGTAATTTATTTTTATTTTTATTATACATAATGATTATTTGATTGGGTTGGAATAATTAATGTAATTTTTAAAGTTCCCAACTTATATAACATTTAACATAGTTCTTTATTCGATTTATATGAAATTAATTCATGCTAATCGTACAATTGGATTGAAAATAATAAATGTATTTTTTGACTTTTTAAATTACACTTATTTTAATTTTCTATTTGATTGATAGTTAAATTAATAAAATCATCGAGTCAATTTAGATGCAATTAATTCATACTAATTGTACAGTGATTGAACATAATAAATGTATTTTTTGTCTCTTTAAATTTATGTGACATTTTAATTTTCTGTATTGTTGATAGTTAAATTAATATAATCATTGAGTTTTTCTACTTAAATGTCACAAAAAAATTATAAATAGAAATAGGAAATTAGGGATAGAAAATGACAATCAACTCAATTATTTTAAGTCACTGCAAAACGAAAAGTAAAGGATGGAAATTCGCTTCTTCAATTTTGTATATTCGAAAGTTGTAACACAACACATTTTAAATATTAATTATTAAAATTTTGTAATATAAATTCCGAACTTTTTTACGTCCAAATTTTTATTTTTTATCACATGGTAAATAAATAAGAGCTCAAAGAAAATTAAAGTTAAATAAAAACTTAATATTCCAGTGTTATGCTTGTAAGAGATCAAATTAAAGCTTCAAGAAAATAATATGGGATAGTTTCAATAGGTGGAAACGCTTAATCACATGATAGTTTCAATAGGTGGAAATGCTTAATCGCATATTTTATGTTTAATGTAGAACATATCATTTGTTTTTTTTGCTTCTATTTAGAGGAGTTTTTAGCTCCAAATAATTTTGGTGTGTTATCATGCAGATTTTCTACTTGGTGGGGTTTGGCTTGTTTTGCTTAGAGTCCCTCCTCAGCTTGTGGGTTCTCCAGGTTAGATGTGAAACATTTCATTTACTCTTCAATTGTTTGTTGTTATCTTTGCAACCTATGCACACGAGCACAAGCACAAGCACGAAAAAGGTTGCACTATTCTTATTAACTTGGTTATGATTTCTTTATATCTTTAAGAGTAACAAGTTGGCCCATTTTTTGGGAGTGGTAAATAGGTATATCATTTCTTTAACTAGAAAGGAAAATTTTACCATCCTTCCCTTCTCAGACATGTTTTCTTCGAATTTATTTACTTGTGAGGGCAAGTATAATTTACTCTTATTGTGAATAAATGACTAGTAATCATGGAAGCATCAGTGTCATAATTACGTTATCAAATGTGAGGGATGATTGTATGCCCCCTTTAATAATCCTAATTCTAACTGGTATTTTCAACCTTTAAATCTAGTGGGGTTATTGGGTTTTCTTTTAAGTTTCATTTTGATTTGTTACCACCTGCCTATTTACAAGTAATTGAGGCTGCTAGGCAGTTCTATCAACATACTATTTTTTGTATCAAATAATTTGAAAGATAATTCTTAACATTTTTAATTTTTTCAATTTATATTTTATGCTTGAATTTGATAATCAATTTCAGATGTTGTCATTGAATACTAAAAGAATATTGTTATCACAAGATTTAAATCTAATAAGCTAGTATATTCAAATTATGAATACAAAATCAAAAATTTTATTTCATTCAATAATTATTTCAGATGTTCAGGGTTGTGATAGTGTATATTCCATTAGAATATATGTTACACTATAAATTTCAGTCATTTTGCTGATTTTGGCAAAAATTTACAGCAGGCCACCTGATAGCTTTGTCATTTTCTTGATTTGCTCTCATGCCACAACATGGTGCCAAGAATGATGTTGCAACTGACAGTCACTTAAAATCCTGATTTAACAACATATATCTAAATCTCCCTAAAGCTAGACTGAGTGACATAGTGTGGTTGGGTATGCCAGTGTGGCTGGGTTGGTTGGCAATTCAATCTGCATTTCATTGGGAATTGGACAAATAGGCAACAGAAGAAAATTTAGGGGCAAGAGCTCTAAAAGTTCATGCATTTTACTTTTATAAGTTAATTAAAAAGTCATTTTTGAAATATAAATCTTGTAATACAAGCTGAATTTACCATGCCATTAATCAATATTGGAGAAAGACCAAGTGAATTTTATGTTCTAAAAAATAGACAAGTTTTTATTTATATTTATGTAAGTCCGAATTTATAATAAAACTCAAGCCTTCAGAAAACAGACAAACATTGCCCCTAAGGGTCTGAAGTAATTTCTAAATGAGGACTTTCAATGGATGAGAGCTGCTGGGAGACTAAAACAATGTCATAGTTAATTATCTAAAAAATTCAGCTTCAGTGACACTGATTTCTCGTCAGTTTGAACATGGTGATCAAGTTTCTTGTATAATTATGAGAAAACTATTGTAATTAAAAGGCATTCTTGAATTTGGTTGGAACAAACCTGATATTAGATGAGTTGGAGCTGAGTGTTAGAATAAAGTGGACATGAAAACAGTAAAGATGGAAAATAAAGAGAAAGCGGAAGAAAAATGAAACAACATAACTCTAAAACCAGGATTTGTGGCTTCCCAAATATTGTCTTTTGTTTGTAAAGATTTCCTGAAAACTGAAAGGTAATAAAATGGGAAAAAAATTGCTTTCACAAAATGCGAAAAAAGGCAGAAACAACAGCGTTTTCCAAGGCACCCTTAAGAAACTGAAAATTTTGGTGTTGATTCCTTTATGATTTTAATTTTTGACTCTTTTCTTTCTTTATTTTATGTCTTGTTTTTGGATAAGGAAAAGATTACTGTTGTTTACACTCTTTTCTTTCTTCATTTTATCACCTGGGACCAAGTGTCAAATCCATTTTGCTGTCTCTTATGTTCCTGGAACATTTGTTGCGAAGAATGCTAATAGGTCTACCTCATTATTTTTCTTGTGGCAGTGATTTATAATTTTAACATTTAGATAGATATTCTTATTCTTAGCCTACTGTTTTTGGTTATTTGTTCTTATGAATCTTGCCCAACTTGTTCTATAAATAATGGTGCATGTCCACTCCCCCCCCCCACCCCCCACCCCCCCAAAAACACGCACACGTATATTTAGTTGTAAGGTATTTTTTGTGTTTGATTTGATGTCATTGCTTGTAACTTGAAAACACATTTTTAAGATATGAAGGCTTGAATATTCATAGTGGCGGTCACGTAAAACAATTTGAATACTCGTTGTGCTGAACATACTTTTTGACTTGATTGTGTTTTGTTTATGTGCAGAAAGTTTACATGTACTTCAGAGGGCATAAATGAGGCCGATTTAAGGTTTGTGAATGAATTTAGTTTTAAGGTATTACTGCTTCTCAGAGTGGTCGAGTATATTCTCATTCTATCACCATTTTTTCTTTATTGTGATGAGTGTTTGAGACTGTACAATTAGAGGAGTGCTTAGTGCATTTTAGGAATTGATATAATCACCTTCAACATGAGTATCTGTTAATTTCCTTTTTTTCTTTTATATATATATATAATTAATTTTCTTATTTTGTAGTATTGCATCTATAAATCAATAAAGTTTTCCGAAGTCTTGGGATTACAGTTACCTCGCTCGGTATTTTGAATTGTAGTGCTAAAATTTCTGAATGTTTGAGAGTTGCCTGATGTATATGCAGTTGAATGTCCTCTCTGCTTTCTGTGAGAAGGCAAAGTAGTTTGTTTTGCAAGTGGCCTTTCCCACTTTAACATTTTCTTGGGGGAGCTAACGCAGGTTTTTTGGCGACTTAAAGTGAAAAGTGAAAAGTGAAAACCTCTTCCTACTTGTTACTGCTGTCTTCAAATCCTTTTCTTTTTCTTTTTTTTTTTTTTATTTTTGTTTTTGTTTTTATTTATTTATTTTTTGACACGGTGTGTACTCATTTTGTTGCCCAATGATTAATGATCATCTTTCTTTATAGCCAGAGCTCGTCCGGTACAATTGAATTTATAAAAAGTAAAATTATTATTTCGTCCCTGAGGTTTTACATAATTATTTAAGTAGTCCTGGACATTTATACATATATTTATAATGTTCTCGAGGTTTGCCACCGTCATATTAATTGGTCCTTCTGTAAAAAAAAAAAAACATTTTTTCCGTTAATTTTGAGAGAAAAAGACGAAATTATCCTTTGAAAAAATAATTATTTTGTGCCTGAGGTTTTCTATAATTATTAAGTAGTCCCTGACATTTATACAAATATTTATAACGTCTTTGAGGTTTACTTCCGTCATATTAATTGGTCCTTCCATAAAATAAAAATACACTTTTTCCGTTAATTTTGAGCGGAAAAGATGAAATTATCCTTTATAAGTTTTTATTGACATTATTGTCAATTCCTTTCCTTTAAAATAACTGAAATTCAAATTTTCACTATCTTCTTCAATTCAACGCGGTTTTTATTGCCACCATCGTGTCTCTGTCAAGTATTATCTCCATAACCAGATTACCAACAAAACTAAAAGGGAAAGTAATTATTTCGTTGCTGAGGTTTGTTATAATTATTTAAGTAGTCTCCGCTATTTATACAAGTATTTATAACGTCCCTGAGGTTACTTCCATCATATTACTTAGTCCTTCCGTTTAAAGCACACTTTTTGCTGTTAATTTTTAATAGAATGACCAAACTAACCTAAATCCTCTAATTAAGGAGAGAGAGATAAATGGATGAAGGGTGATGATGGCTTGATTGAGTTTGGATGTTGGGTTTTAGTTTTGGTGGTGATTACCCCGAACAAACCTAAAGGGAAGTATTATTTCGTTGCTGTTAGGTTTTGTTATAAATTATTTAAGTAGTCTCCCGCTATTTATACAAGTATTTATAAAAAACGTCCCTGAAGGTTAGCTTCCATCATAATTACTTAAGTCCTTCCGTTTAAGCACACTTTTTGCTGTAATTTTTTAATAGAATGACCAACTAACTAAAATCCTCTAATTAAGGAGAGAGAGATAAAATGGATTGAAGGGTGTGATGGCTTGGATTGAGTTTGGATGTATGGGTTTTAGTTTTTTTGGTGTGATCTGGATATGGAGATGAATAGTTTCATTGGCAAGGGTGGTTGGCAATGAAGATCGTGTTGAGTTGAGGAAGATGGTGAAAATGAAATTTCAGATAATTTTAGAAGGAAAGAAGATAATAATAATGTCAATGAAACTTATAAAGGATAATTTTGTCTTTCACTCAAAATTAAACGAAAAAGTGTATTTTTTATTTTATGAAGACAATTAATAATGACGGAAGTAAACTTTATAAGGGACGTTATAAATATTTGTAATAAAAATGTAGGGGACTACCTTAATAATTATGGGCAACCTCAGGGAAATGAAAATAATTATTTTCCCAAAAGGATAATTTCGTTTTTTCCTTCACAAATTAAACGGAAAAAGTGTATTTTTTTTGACGAAGGACTAATTAAATAATGACGTGGCATTTTTTTGACGGAAGGACTAATTAATATGACGGTGGCAAACCTCAGGGACGTTATAAATATATGTATAAATGTCGAGGACTACTTAAATAATTATGTAAAACCTCACGGACGAAATAATAATTTTCCCTTTATAAAATTTTATGGGCAAATTAACTTGAAAGTATAAACAAAAGTTTATATAAAATATTATTTTTTTAATTATTGAATGAATGATCCTTGAATTAAAATTTAAATAAATTTGATAGAATTTGCAAATGAATTTTTTTATCTTAATAAGAATACGAGTCTTCAAAGCTAATCTATTTTGATGTAAAAGTGGGTGAAGTTAAATATATCAAATGAAATATGGAAATTTAATTATAAATGAACTATTTTTTGTAAAATTCCCATGCGGCTATTTTCAAATTATTTGTAAATTGTTAAAAGGAAATTTTTTACATCCAAAAAGTTTTATTGGACTGCTCTGGTGCTGTTTGTTCTCGATTAAATTTCTTGTTTTTCATTTTTTTTAAATAAAATGAACAAAACTTATTTGTTTGAACTTCCTTAATTTTTTTTCTTTATTTTGAGAAAACTGTTTTTAAAATAAAAAATAAGTTTTATGAAACCATAAATAGTGGTTGACTGAATTGTGTTTTTTATTTTTAATTTTACATTTCTCATTTTTTATAAGATTTATCATCATAAAATTGTTATTATTATTATTATCTAAATTTATTTATTTATTTATAATGTCATTTATTTATCCAAAATTATACAAACATATATTTTTATCTTTGTTTAAATTCTCAGCTTTTTTTTCTCCTTGATGGCGTGGTGGAAAAGGCTATGGTATTGATGGAGAAGCACGTCCGTGCTATAGTGACACGCCCGTGCTACAGTAGCACGCCCTGGCCGTGCTAGGGTCTGACTCTTGGAGTGGAGAAAAGCATGCCGTGCTTTGAGGCACGCCGTGGCCGTGCTAGGATCTGACTCTTGGAGTGGAGAGAAGCATGCCCGTGCTTTTAGGCATGCCCTTGCCGTGCTAGGGTCTGACTTGATTGAAAACGTAATGAAAGGCAAAGGTGACTGATGATGAAGATTAAAGTGAGAAAGATCGATGATTGTTTTTAAAAACAAACAAAACCCAATAGTTTTTGGAAACTAATAAAACCCAAATGTGATTAACACTTTCTTGTTATTCAAAATCTATTTTTCAAAGTACGCAAAATCCCTTTATATAGGGAGACAACAGCCATAAACTCTCTTTGAATGTGTTGTTCAAAGACATAATTTCAAAGGACACCTAATTAAGGTTGAAAACAACACACACAATTTCAAAGACACAAATTCAAAGGACACCTAACTATGGTTGAAAATAGCACAAAAGGGCTGAAATGCAAAGTCAATGATGGTTTGAAATAGCACAAAAGGGCCTGAAATGCAAAGGTCAATGATCAAACCACAAGTGGGTCTTTTGATTGTTGTCCTTCAAAGATGATGGTGTGAAAAGGACCCAAATGGCCGCCAATAAGGGAAGCTGTAGCTTTCAAAATTGGAACATGTCTACCTTCCATTGAACATGTCACCTCCACTAAGCCCATCTTCACTTTGAGTGTCTTCATCAACTTTAGCTTGTAAGGCTAGGCTAGATGGACCTCCATCATTCTCCCCTTCTTGAAAAGTTTCAACTTCATCAGAAGTTGACATGGTGTCTTCCTTATACTTGGCTAGGTCACTTACATTGAAGGTGTTGGAAATCTTGTAAGATGGAGGCAGCTCTACCTTGTAAGCATTTTGGTTTACCTTCTTGATGACCTTCTTGATGATCTTGTAAGGACCCTCGACCTTGGGCATAAGTTTATTCTTTCTTTTAGAAGGGAATCGTTCCTTCCTTAAGTGAACCCACAACAGATCACCTTCTTTGAACTCCATAACAGGTTTCAGCTTGGCTTGCATCTTATAGGCTTCGTTCTTCTTCTCAATATGTGCTTTTGCTCTAACATGGAGTTTGACAATTTCAGTAGCTCTGTCCTCGGCCTTTAAGTTAGAGGGAATACTAGAGTGTACTTTGCTCAAATCGAGAGTAACAAATGGATTAGCTCCATAAACTAATTCAAAAGGAGTAAAATTAGTGGTCTTACTCTTCGAACTGTTGTAAGCAAATTCAGCATGAGCCAACAAAGAATCCCAAAAGAATCCCAATTCCTTTACTTTCCCCTTTAGCAAACTTCTCAAAATAGTTGCCTAAGCTTCGATGAGCCACTTCTGTTGTCCATCTGTTTGAAGGATGAAAAGCCGTGCTGAACTTCAAAAAGTAGTTCCTACCTTGCCCAATAAATGTCTCCAAAAATGACTCAAAAACTTTACATCCCTATCACTCACTAATACTGCCTAGGAATTTTCCATGGAGTTTTTACAAACATTTTCAAAGTACAAATCAGAAACATGAGATGGCATCATTGTTTTGTTACCAAAGCAATAAAATGAGCCATTTTTTGAGCAACCCTATCTACTACAACCATAATGGAAGTGAGAACCTATCTACTACAACCATAATGGAAACATGATTTTGTCTCATTCTTGGCAAACCAACAATGAAATCAATACTTACATCTTCCCATGGTGAGCTTGGAATCGGCAAAGGCATGTATGGTCCGTGAGCTTGTATGGTCATTTTGGATTGCTTACAAGTATTAGAACCCTCAACGAGTCTTAAAACCTCTTTCCACATCTTTGGCCAATAGAAATTCTTACTTGCCAATTCATAGGTTTTGTCTCTTCCAAAGTGACTAGCTAGGCCTCCACCATGGACCTCCACCATGGACTTCCTTAAGAATTGCTTCCCTTAAAGAGCTTTGAGGAACACAAACAACATCAAGCTCGAAAAGATAACCATCATGAATAGTGAAGTCCTTAAATGCACCATCTTTCCTAACCCTCTCCCAAATTTGATCGAAATCCCCATCACTCTCATACAAGGTCTTAATATTCTCAAATCCTATTACATAAGCATGCATGGTACTAAGAACCTCATATCTCCTAGACAAGGCATCAGCCACTCTATTACTTGGACCATCCCTATACTTCACTACAAAATTAAAGGATTGCATGTATTTAACCCAAGATGCATGTCTCTTGCTTAACTTAGCTTGACTT